CCTTGAATTCACTGTGATGCTCCTGCCTCAGAGTGCTGGGATCACAAGTGTGTGCCACTATGCCCTGCTAAGGTTACCAGTTATCACACAGTAAAATTTGCCCTCTTAATCATGATTCTGACACTAATACACTTTCTTATCTTTTTGAAACAGGGTTTCACTATGCAGTTCAGGCTGAACTTGAACTCATTTTGTGGACCAGGCTGGTCTCTAACTCTCAGAGATCCTCCTGCCTCAGCATCCTGAATGCTGGGATTACAGGTGTGTGCCACCGCACCTGATCTACTAACACTCTCTTGAGGAATTTTGCAAAAGTTGATCTGCTAGGCAGTGAAATAACCCTTGTTGTTACTGGCCTGTGTAACAAGTGGTCAACATAAGGTCAGTTTACTTTAATCCACTTTCAAATATTTTCTTCCAAAAATCTGTTCTGTGCCAGAGATAACACAAACCCGGAGTGTAAACATTTGGAGTCGGTCACTACTTTTTACTGAGTTACTTTCCACTCTATTTCTATTTTTCCTCATGATTTTCTACTTTTTTCAACCAGTTGTGGTAAAGAAGACCTGTTATCCCAGCACTCAGGAAGCTGAAGCAGGAGGATCCCCATGAGTTGGAGGCCAGCCTGATCTGCATAGTCAGACCTTGTCTCAAAAAATGTTTTTTTATACCCATATGACCACAACCCCTATATTTCAGCTACCAAGTGGGTTATTTTGCGCAAAAAGAAGTTTTTAACAAATCTTCCTAGTGTGACACTTCAGTTTCAAAAAGGAATCTTAATTTTTAGACTCAGTTTTCAAAGACTGAAGAGAAACCGGCAATCCTATCTTATTACTAAATATGACAACAAGCCCCTAGTTGTCTTACTTTGACTAAGTTCCCAGAGTTAGAGTTCATGTTACTCTCATGGGTGATTAACTGTTTTAATTACTTTTACAAGTGAGAAACCATTTTTTTCCTGAAGGGGAAGGGAATTTGGACCAGGCAAAAGGAGCAGCAGCACTAGCAGCTGTGCAGCGTGTGTGAAGCTGTATTCGACATGGTTTTGGTCCCTTTTGCACAACGTTATGGGTATTTTCTTGTATATCCTACTAAGCTTATGATAAAAGGCAGTTCTAACATATCAATGCAAATTCAGTATAACATTCACCTTCAAGCTGGGCATACTGGCGCATGCCTGTAATCCCAGCACTTGAGAGGCTGAGGCAGGGCGATCCTTGTGAGTTCGAGACCAGCCTGGGCTACAAAATAAGCTCAAGAAGAGCCTGTTCTTGCAGTTCTCACTGCACAATGAGATCCTGTGTCAAAAAGCCAAAAACAAAGAAACCACTCACCTTCAAGTTTCACAAATGTGCAATTCTAAAGTCTCTACAGTGCATTTGCACACTTTGTTCACTAACATAATACCCAAACTCACAGAAGTTTTTGTTAGGCACTTCACTTTGCCCACGTCTGACACTATCTTCACACATATTCCATGAAGCCACAGATTACCGTAACTTTTGGAATCTACCTGGGCTTTCAAGAAAAACATCAGAAGCAATTTCATAAAACAGAAGTCAATCCCTTCCCTTCTTTTGCTTTTTGTGTCAGTTGTCTTAAAAACACTGGAAGCAGGCATGAGGTTTTACATATTATCCAAGAACTTGGTTTAGTTTCAGATTTCTTTCTTCACTGTATCTGCTCTGGTAAGGAGATCATCTACATCAGCATTTATCACCCTGGGTGACAAACTCTGGGCCTTGGACCCAAAATCCTGAGGTGTGGCCGTCTGAGGTGCTGGGAGGGTAAGAGATTTGAGGATGCCTCAGGCTGGGATGCTTGGACCAACTATGAGTCAGTTTCTTAAAATTTCAAAATATGGATAATGGCATTTACCTTATATGATTGTATTGCCATAATAATAATTAATTTTTTTTTGTTTTGTTTTTTGGAGACAGGGTCTTGTTATGTAGTTTTGGCTGGACTTGAATTCACTATGTTGCCCAAGCTGGCCTTGAACTCATGGAGATCCTCCTGCCTCAGTCTCCTGAATGTTGGGATTATAGGCATGTGCCACCACAATTGGCTATAATTATTTTTTGAACAACCTAACATATGATTTACAGATTAGGCTACTGAACCTGAGATAGGAGATTAGGGCTGTAGCAAACCAGACAACCACCTCGGTGAAATGCGCCAAACGTCATAAAAACTCAGGGTTAACAGGTTGAGCGAGTTTTCTAAAAAGAAAGAGCGACATACAAGGTAGATAGGAAACGGGGACATAGACCTTTACTAACCGGGAAGGAGACCAAGCCAGTCATGGAAGGAGAGGAGGGGAAGAGGACATAGAATTAAGATGTGTTGCGTTCATGTACCAACTCCCCAGGATGAATGTAATCACTACGTACTGCAAACATGTACTAATAAAAATAAAAATTAAAAAAATAAAAAGGACACCAATATACCTGCAACTTTCTTCCTTTTGGGCAAATTTCCTGAAAGACCCCAAGGTTGACTGAGTCTGTTATTTGGCGCTGTGACTTTTTTGTTTTTGTCTTCCTTTCTTTCTCCCTTCTTCCGTCCCTCCCTTCCTTCCTGCCAAATAGCTCTTGAGGAAGGATGGGAACAGGGAGAATACATGTGAGATTTCCTTTTTAACAACTTTCTGTTTGTTTTTGTTTTTCCGGTACCGGGAATCGAACTCACGACCTCGCACTTGCCAGGCAGCGCTGTGCCGCGGAGCTAAATCCCCAGACCCTTAACAACTTTTTAAACTCTAGAAAAGTGCACTTCAGTGCGCAGCACACTGACTCTCCAGACCCCTGAGCTTGGCGGCCAGAGGCGCACCCCGCTCATGAAGCAGGAGCACACAGCCGCCTCGCCTTCGCTCTCATCCAAGGGTAGGATCTTGATGTCGCAAAAGGCAACTAATCTGATCAGATCTTCGCAGGCTTAGTCTATTGATACTTTCACAAAACTTAGACCACGAAAATGTAAGTCCTGTTCGCAAACGCTAAGCAGGCTGAAGTCGAGCGGAGGGACGGCACGAAGTTCTCGGACGCGAACAGGTCTGGGTCAGGCAAGATTCGGACGTGCACCGCAGCACTCCCGGCATGCAACACGGCACTCCCAGCGTCCCGCGGAGCGCTCCCGGCCTGCACCGCGGCGCGCAGAGCAGGCCGGGAGCGCTCCGCGTTGAGGGTGGGCGCGGCGGTGGCGCAATTTGGCCTTGTTGTCCGAGAAAAGGCGGGACGACATGGAAGTGTAAGCGAGCCCGGGCCGTTCACGGCTGTGGGCCGGGGGGCACAGCTGGGGACTGTCAGAGCACTGGGAGCTCGCGTGGGGACCGCGAGCGGTCCGCGTCGGCGTGCGCGCAGGGCGACCTCCAGCTGGGAAGGGCCTGGAGAGGGGCCCCCGCGCCCCGCCCGCGTCCTGTGCCTCCTCCCCGCCTCATCCGCGTGCTGGGGCCGGTGGGGCGGGGAGCCCGGCCTGGTGTCGGAGCGCGGGGTTAGGAGCTGTGGAGCAGGGCCGCCCTCCCTGGAGGTCCCTGGAGGCGGTTCGGACGCTCTGCGAGAGAGGCATGCTTGGGACTGGAGCTCTCCGAGTTCGATGCGTTGTGCGCCGCAGGAGCAGCACAGCGTCTGTGGGTGTTGTATGCGTGTGTGAGAAGGAGTAGAAGCCTGAGTTTCAACGCCGCATGGTCTTGGCCTTGCTTGCTCAAGGTAGCACGTGCAAATGGAAGTGTTTGCACTCACTAAATTAATTCTGCAACCCGCTGATGGGGGTGGTTCTGCAACTTAAGAAACACTCATATGTAGGCACCCCTCCCTATCCAGGTTTCGGGACCTTCTGTGGGTACCAGAATCCGAGGAGATTCAAATTCCTTCTATAACGTGGTGTAGTATTTGTGTGTTACTTATGCACATTCTCCCGTGTAGTTTAAATCATCCCTAGATTACGTAGGATACCTAATACAGTGTATAAGCGCTGTGAAAATAGCTCTTACGTTGTACTATTTAGGAAATAATGACAAGTCTGAGCTGATGCCTTTCCTCCCTAATATTTCTTGGTAGAATCCGAGATTGAAGAGCCACAGATAGGACCAGCTATATATTGCTCTGGTCTGAGCCGTCATTATTAATTTTCTCTTTCCTGAACATTGCCTGTCAACATACAAACCTACTTTATCTAAAATTCTTTGATCTGTATCTCTGCCTTTTGGTCTGTTTGTGCTTCCCATCACAGGAAAACTATTTGGAAGTGTTGTTTGTCCCCTCTTTCGCTCTCTGTCCCTTTTTTGTTTTGGTTTGGTTTTTTGAGACAGGGTCTCGCCATGTAGTCTGGGGTAGCTGGAACTTTCCTCTATCTTCCTGCCTCAGCCTTCTAAATGTGCCACCGTGCCCAGCTTATCCCCTCATTCACTCACCCATTCTGCTTGGCTTTCCTTCTCACTAGTCTACAAAATGGTTCTTGTGAAGCTTGTCTAGTCCCTCCGTTCTTTTTTAAAATTAAGCTTATTAGTACATTTTAGATATGCATAATAATAGCGTTCACCATAGGGAATTTGTACCTGTACATGATATATCTTGATTGTTTTTTCCCATTTCACTCCCCTCTCTTCAACCCTTCTTCCCCTCCTTAGTTACAAAGCTTTGTTTCCATTTTTTCTTTCTTTTCTCAGTTTTTTTCTATTCCTCCCCCCGCTTCCCCTTCCCATTTGAACATTTTCTTCCCATTTCACTATATCTGTTACACATTTTTAACCCCTCTATCTTGTCAAATCCGAAGTTTAATTTTTCTGGCCTCAGCTTTTCTGATTTCCCAGTAACAATTGTTATAGAAGCTATAGATTGTCTCTCAGCTTTATGACACACTCCTTGATTTCCATGTTTGTCAAAGATGACAGCTCAGCATCCTCGCCTTCCTTTGCTTGGTGTTTAAATGTAGGTGTTTTGGAGCTCAGTCGTGGGTCTCTTGCCACACTTTTTTGGCCATTTTATGCACCCATGTGCGGATGGTTCCCCACAGTCTTTTTCTGTCTGTTATCATCTTATCAGGTTGCTTGGACCAAAAATCCAGCCCTCTTATCTCTAACCATCAGCCAGTGTCATCCAGCTTTAGGATGTATTTTGAGTGCAGTTACTTTCCACCATCTCCACTGTTGACTTTGTAGTCCATCATCTCTTGTCCGGATTAAGCTATTTTAACAGTTTTTCACCTTCTACTCCTGCCCCCCTGCTATTTCTTTCTGTACAGCAACCAGAGTGATTGTGAGCATTAATGGAAGCAGGTCAGCCCTTGTTAAAACTATTGGCTTTCCATCCTTTACTACTTCGTCCAGCCTTTGCCACCTCCCTTCCTCCAAAGCACACATTTCCCACTGACAGATCATTCTCTATCTTTTTGCTTTTTTTGTTGTTGTTTGTTTTGTTTTGGTACCGGGAATCGAACTCAGGACCTCACGCTTGCCCAGCAGGTGCTGTGCTGCTGACCTACATCCCCAGCCCACTTGTTCTCTAGCCCTTTCCTACCTCATTACCTTTGCACTGTGGTTCCCTGCGCCTCATACTTGTCTTCCTTCCTTGCTGCCTTCTCAGGTGGATCGTCCCTTTTCAATGAGTACTCTTTTCTAGCATCTTGGTTTGCTTTCGCCTTAGATAACTATAAGTGGTCTTGTGTCACGAAGGCATCGGCCAGTGTCTGTTCATCTTGTACTTAGCACTGCATTTGCCGCACAGAAGGCATGCAGCAAGTACTTGTTAAATGTAGGACTGTGCCAGGATCCATTTAGTAAATGTAAATTAACTTGTACTCCGTTTGCTGGGTGTGTAGATTTTTCTAATTCTCTTAAGTAAAATAGATGAAATCAGTATATAACAACCTGTCCACTTCTCCCAAGGAGCCTCTGTTTTGTTGAAACCAACAGCATTGCAGCTGGTGCTTGATGAGAAAATGGGGTCTCCTGAGGTAGGCCGTTGGGTGGGACCCTGGGATGGAAAGGGCTGGAGCCTGGCTTCTCACCCTGCCTGGCCTCTGTCTTGGCAGAGACCTCAGGGTCTTTAGCGGAGGCTGAGTCTCAGAGGGCAAAGCGTGCTCCTCTGTCAGGACTCCGGGACTGAAGTGAGGAGGCGCAGGGAAGGTCTCCTGAGTTTTTACTGCTTCCTCCCTTTGGTTTGTGAGTATAAACCTACTAAGTAGTGCATATAAACACGTACTAGACATCCCTGAAACATGAGGACTAGTTATACTTTTATTTGGCTGAATGACCAGAATTTAAAGTAAAGACATCTTGCTTTATTTGCTTTTTTGGTTACCGGGACTTAGGAACTCGTACTTGCTAGGCAGGTGCTGTGCCACTGAGCTAAATCCCTGGCCAAGATATCTTTTGTTTGTTTGTTTGTTTGTTTGTTTTTGTGTGTGTGTGTTTTCTTCTGGTACTGGGAATTGAACTCACAACCTTGCGCTTGCCAGGCAGGTGCTTTGCCGCTAAGCTAAATCCCCAGCCCCCAAGGCCAAGAGATCTTGTTTAGAGCTGGGGGTGTAGCTAAGTGCAGAGTGCTTGCCTAATATGTAGGGCCTGGGTTCTAGCCCCAGCAGGGCAAAAATAAACAGCTGTTATTGGGAACCATACCTTCTTCAAATGAAATGACGTAACACATTCATAGCAGAGTTAAGTACTTCTGTGTACCAGGTACTTGCTATCTGGCTCACTTTGTCTAGCGCCTCAGATCATCTGTGTGCGCAGAAAGCTTAAGTTCCCTCTCGAACTGGGGAGTGGACACTATTTACCCTCTCGTGTCTTTTATTTTGAGGTCCTTTCAGGATTTTTTCCCTCTAGTACTGGGGTTTAAACCCAGGGTTTTTGACCTGAGCTACATTCTCAGATCTTTTTTTTTTTGTGGCGGGGGGAGTATTTTGAGACATTGCCTCTGCTGGGGTCAAATTGGTGAGCCTCCTTCCTGCCTTACCCTCCCAGAGTACTGGGATTATAGGTGTGCACCACCTCGCCTGGCTTACGTCAAGATTTCTCAAGTTTTCCAGCCAGAAATACTAAAATTTAGAAAAGTTGGAAAATAGACCTATGACAATTCAGTAACAGGCCTGAGAAAGCATACTTGTTTGGTAGCTCCAAAGAGGGTACTGCAGGTCAGATTGTTCTTTGACTTTGAAGCCTGCATAGGTTTCTGTACCAAAGTGTAGTTTTTCAGAGCATGAGTTGATAGCATAGGCTGAACATAAGGGATATTGAGCAATCCTGTTCGTCATTGCGTTCGTAAGTTAACTGCGTGGCGATTAACTGACCAAATTTGCCTGGGGTTTTTGGTGTGTATGTCTGTGTTTTTGAGAAAAGTCTGCCAACAGATCATTTTGTACTGTTTATTCAGAATTTGGTTTTCCAAAGTAGTTGTTTACATTTATTAAATTGACTCAGCAAGTTAAGCAGATTTTACAGGTTAATCTTTAAAAAGCAAGTGACATTCAGCCAGCTAGTTCATATCTCAAGGAAACTGTGTAATTGCCTACTTGTAGCATAGATTTGAACGGTCTTTAAAATTCACTTGGAATATTTTTCTTTTTGAGACAGGGTTTTGCTTTGTAGTTAGGCTGGCCTTGAACTCATTACATAGCCCAGGCTGGCCTGGAATTCACCGTGATCCTCCTGCCTCAGACTCCCAGAGTGCCGTGATTACAGGTGTGTACCACCATGCCTGGCCTTAGGAGTATTCTATTCTAAGTTGTACAGGAGAAGGTGAAATTTTGTTTTTATGTAGGCAGAAATGTGATTGTATGTGACTAGAACTACTACTGTAAATACAGAGTGCATAGTCTTAGTTCTTCTGTTGTCCCTATAGTGTTTTCTGTAGAGCAGGCCCCAGCCTCCATAGCAACACCTTGTTAGTGCATCATTGACAGATGTGTCATTTGACAGATTTTTGTAGCTCTAAAGGGTGTTGGGGAAAATGTGTTTTATATCCTCTATTACAAATTACAGTAATGTTAGTTTTTAACCTTATGGAATTCTTAAGCTTTACATTTCTATTTTCTTTAGCTTTCAACTTGAAAAAACCCAAGCCTATGGAATAGCTGCAAAATAGCACCTCATACACCTGCATACCCTTTACCCAGACTGCTTATCTCTTAACATTTCAATATGTATTCATCTTTTTTCTCTTTCTTTCTTTCTTTTTCTTTTTTTTTTTTTTTTTTTTTGGTTTTTCTCTGGTACCAGGAACCGAACTCACGACCTTGCGCTTGCCAGGCAGGCGCTTTTGGCCGCTGAGCTAAATCCCCAGCCCCTCTTTTTTCTTTCTTTCTTTTTTTTTTCTTTTTGAGACAGGGTCTCACTATGCAGTTCACGCTGGCCTTGAGCTTACTTTGTAGCCTAGGCTGGTCTTGAACTTACAGCAATCCTCATGCCTCAGCCTCTTGAGTGCTGGGATTATAGGCGTGTGCCACCACGCCTGGCATCATCTTATTTTCACACATGCACAAGTGTTTTCTCCATACCTGTAAAACACATACACACTTATTTTACTGAACCATTTCAGCATTGCAGACGTGGGCTTACCCTCTGAAGAGCCAGATGTGGTGGGACACACCCATAATCCCTGCATTTCCAGAGGCTGAGGCAGGAGGGTCACCATGAGTTCGAGGCCAGTCTAGGCTAGTGAGTTTAAGACCAGCCTGTACTGCATCATGAGATCTTGTCTCAGACAAAACA